ACACAAAAAAAAAAAAAAAAAAAAAAAAAAAAGATTAAACTATGTATAATTTGACACTGAACAAGAACGGCTGGGGGCCGCAAGTATCCCGCATGGGGACAGTGTTCTGTCCATCAGCACCAAGAGTCTCCCTATATTTTTGTTTTTTATTTTGGTAAAATGTACATAAGATAAATTTTCCTATTTGCATGTAAATGTACAATTTGGTGGCATTGAGTACACTCAGAATAACGTACAGCCATGAACACTATCCATTTCTAGAACTTTTTCTTCCCTGACAAGGATTTGAGCTGATATGGGAGGTGATCCTAGAGAACACAGGAGCGGGTGGGAAGTGAGAGAGGAAGGAAAGGTGGCCAGCGGTGTGCAGTTAGCACCATGGAGACTGCAGTTTCATCTCCCCAGAGACGCTGGGAGTCAATGGAGAACAGCCTAGAAGAGTTATCCCTCCCGCGGGGCATTTAGACACCAGCTCCCGTGTCTTTGGGTGAGGCCTGCTGGGAGACAGGCGCTTGTAATCTGGCTCCCAGAGAAAGCTCAGGCAGTTGCAAGTTGGACCCTGTACTGCCTGGTGAGGCCCAAGGTCATCAGAGCATCTGCCAAAGAGAAGGCATCATTTACGGTTGAGTAAATATGATATACTAGATCTTTGCATAAAACTCGATTGTGTATTTAGTACATTCTAACTTGGAATTGCCTATTCTGGGGATTTTCACACTCAGGTGCTCCAGTGCTGCTGCATCCATGCTTGTAGGGGTAGCAGGTAGGAACTGGGGGGGCAGTTGGGGATGGGGTAGGGGAGTAGATTCGGATTGGAACAGGGTTTGGGGCCACTTACTCTGCTTCAACCATTGCAGCTCCTTTTTAAAAACTCCGTTTCCTATACTGAGCTTCTGTTTTCACTAGAGGAAAAGAATCCTGCTTCACAAAAAAACAAAAAAATATTTGAAAACCATCGACACAGGATAACATTGACCTATAGGAAAATTAGGGCCGATGAATGGCATTTCTGCTTGAAGGACCTTTTCCAGGAATGGAGGCCACTCCACTCAAGGACTGACTCTATTCATTTGGAAACCTCATTTGCCTTAGAAAAGAAAAACAATGGTGATTTTTCTTTAATTTGGGTTAAAAGACCAAGGACGATTAAAAAGTAACAGATTGTTCAGAATAACTTGCCAGTCTTTCTTCAGCCCTGGGGAGTTGTTTTCCTCTAGCTGAGATGGTGCAGAGTGCTGATGGTGTAGGAAATCAGAGGCGGGCTGGCTGACTCCCGACTGGGTAACGCCCTGGCCCCCTGGAGGAGAATATCAGTATTCGAGTTCTGGGCGTGCCTGTGGCCAGTGCACGGGGAGCTGGAGAAGCAGCTGGGTCCCAGGAGGCCTGGGTTCTGATCCCTGCTTTGTCACTGAATCACTCCATGACCTAGGCCTTTTCCTTTAACCACTCTGTGCCTCAGTTTCCTCATCTGTGGTTACACCCAGCTTATCTGCTTCACAGAGTAGCAAAGTTCAAAGGAGGAATAGTAACACATGTGAATGCGCTTTGGCAAAAGTACTACGCAGTATAGTGATGATAATTATTTTTCCTGGCAGTGTCCCTTTATTCAAAGAATATCTGGATTTTGTAGACACTTAGACTGGCTCTACTTGATTTTTTGAACTGTTGACTCCCAACGTTTTTCCTGTGTATTTTACTTTCCTTCCTCCTCGAACTGTTCAGAGTCGAAAATTGCTTCATTGAAGTGAATTAAGCAGGCAGGAACCTCCCTTTAAGAGACTGTTGTTAAACAGCTCGGTCAAAGCTGGGGGGGGGG